ATGGCAATAGGAAATCCTCTTTCACCTGTTCTTAGTAACCTATACATGGAATTTTTTGAAACAAGATTGCTTAACACAATCCTCCCTAATAGAGCTAAATGGTTCAGATATGTTGATGATATTTTGTGTCTTATGCCCAAAAATGTAGATATACACCATTTCCTTGGAAAATTAAATAGCTTAGCACATTCTATAAATTTTACTGTTGAATTTGAAGAAAATAACTCATTGCCTTTTCTAGATGTTTTAATTATTAAGGGCAATAATAAATTCAAATTTAAAATTTACAGAAAACCTACAAATAACTGTTCCTATGTCCATTATTATTCTTCCCATCAAGATAGAGTCAAACTGTCTGTTTTCTCATCAATGTTTCTGAGAGCTTTACGAATTTGTAGTCGAGAGTTCATAGATGAGGAAATATCCAAAATTTATGAAACAGGTAATACCTGGAGTTTACCTGGAGAGAGTTCAGTGGGTCAACGCCCCCGCGGCCCGGTCTGTGACCAGGCCTCCTGGTGGATCAGAGCCTGATCAACCAGGCTGTTACTGCTGGCTGCACGCAAACCAACGTACGAGCCACAGCCCGGCTGGTCAGGAACCGACTTTAGGTGCTTGTCAAGTGCCAGCTTGAAGACTGCCAGGGGTCTGTTGGTAATCCCCCTCATGTATGCTGGGAGGCAGTTGAACAGCCTCGGGCCCCTGACACTTATTGTATGGTCTCTTAACGTGCTAGTGACACCCCTGCTTTTCATTGGGGGGATGTTGCATCGTCTGCCAAGTCTTTTACTTTCGTAGTGAGTGATTTTCGTGTGCAAGTTCGGTACTAGTCCCTCTAGGATTTTCCAGGTGTATATAAACATGTATCTCTCCCGCCTGCATTCCAGGGAATACAGGTTTAGGAACCTGAAGCGCTCCCAGTAATTGAGGAGTTTTATCTCCGTTATGCGCGCCGTGAAGGTTCTCTGTACATTTTCTAGGTCAGCAATTTCACCTGCCTTGAAAGGTGCTGTTATTGTGCAGCAATATTCCAGCCTAGATAGAACAAATGATTTGAAATACCCAAGAAATGTAATTGATAAATCTTTTAAAGTTGCTAGAAATACTTTTTACAATCCAAAAAGGGACAACCAGCCTTATTCAACTAAAAATATGTTGGTTCTCTCTTACCATGAAAACTTGGTTGATATGCCTTCTCTTCTTAAGACTTTTAATATTAAAGTTGTATTCAAAAATCTTGATACAGTAAAAAAAACTTTTGATAAAGAATTCCCCCCAAAATGCTGATGGATGTGTCTATAAGATTCCTTGTAAAATTTGCGATAAAGTTTATTACGGTCAAACTGGTAAAAATCTCGAACTAAGATTAAAACAACATAAATATGGCATTAGAACTGGACAAGATTCCAATGCTCTATTTATTCATGTAAGAGATTTTAACCATCCAATTGATTTTCAAAAAGATGAGAAAGTTGTATCAAGCAAGTCCATGGTCGACAGGAATATAATTGAATCTTGTTTCATAAAAAGCAGTTTTGACAATAATATGAATATTTTCCTTGGTTTATATAAATTAGATCCATTTAGAATTAATAGAATTTGGGAAGAATTTAATAATACATTGGAGGAATAATAATTTTTAAAATTTCTTATTTCTTGGGTAGAATAGTTTGTTGGTGGGTTGTATGAAGGACCTGTCTAGTTCGGCCGGAGGGCTACCCCTTTATATACCTTCCTTTGATGCTTTACTTTCATTGCTCCTTGATAATGTGAGTAGTCACGAAAGCACTTGGAACTTCTCTATTCTTTCACAGTGGTTGTTTTGCATATTCTGAAATCACCTGTTTACTGTCATCTCATATAGATATATATATATATATATATATATATATATATATATATATATATTATATATATATATATATATATATATATATATATATATATATATATATATATATATCGTGCCGAATATGTAAAACTGGTCAATTAGCAAGAACTCATTTAAAATTAAGTCCTTTCTAAAACTTTCTCTTATACGTTTAAAGATATATTTTTTTCATTAATGTTGATGCAAAAATTTATAATTTTGCACCAAAAGGAACTTAGAAAACTTACCTAACCTTATTATAGTAAGAACAATTTATTTTAGCCTAACCCAACTAAATATATTTTAGATTTGTTTGCAGTGATTTAATACTAAACAAACACAGTGAAATATTTGTTTTCGTTAGGTTCAGAATGATTTTGGCGAAATTATTATATACACAAATTTTCACTTGTCCTATATGGCAAGATGAGCGTTGCTATTTAAGCCAAGATCGCAAGTTCTGCCTATTCGGCACGACATATATATATTTATACACACACACACAATAAGTTCACAATAAACAGGCGATTTCAGAATATGCAAAACAACCACTGTGAAAGAATAGAGAAATTCCAAGCGCTTTCGTGACTACTCACGTTATCAAGGAACAATTGTTCCTTGATAATGTAAGTAGTCACGAAAGCGCTTGGAATTTCTCTGTTCTTGCACAGTGGTTGTTTTGCATATATATATATATATATATATATATATATATATATATATATATATATATATATGGTATTAAATACCATGATTTATCTCAACTTTGACGTAAAAAAAATATATATATATACAGAGGAACATAGAGTGATCTTCAGAGGGAATTAACCTTATCCACATTTATTCACAAGATGAAGTTGAAAGCAACAACAGAACTGAGTAGATATAATAACAAACCATACCACGGGTCGGGTTAGAACCCGCGATCAAAGAGTCGCGGGTTCTAACCCAACCTGTGGTATGGTCTGTTTGCAATCGTGTCATTACGATTTCGTGAGTCAGGTTAGATAGAACAACAACTTGAAGTTCTGGGTAATTTACATAATTTCACTAGCCATTAAGAGTAACTACTGTGACATCTGCATAAGAGAAAGAACAATGGGAGTGCCGAGAGTTAGGATGATTACGTAATTTGGTAATTTAGAAAACGTACAATAAACTGTTTCAGGAAACAACGACGTAATATAAGACTTCATGACGTACCTTCGGAAGGCAGATGCGAGATTTATGGAACAATTTAACCTGTGTAATCACTGCCCCGTAGTTCGATCGCTAGAGAACTCAGCTCACACACCGAGGACCGGAGTTCGATTCTCCTCCGGTACGGCTGGAAAACATTAGTGACGTGTTTCCATAAGACACTGTCCATGTTCACATATCAGTTTAAAATGGGTACCTGGGTGTTAGTGGACTGGTGTGGGTCGCATCCTGGGACAAAACTGACCTAATTTGCAGGAAAAGTTCAGCATCACAAGTGGCTTTCTATATAGTAGTATGTCATTGATGTCAGGTATGGTCTGTATACCTTGTACATGTACTTGTAGTAAATAAAGATATTACCGAGCACTTCTGGCGAGAGAGATGAAATTCGGAGATTCGTAAGAATACCAGAGGCTAAAAGTATTCAGGAAAGAAAAAAATAGATAAAACTTGCAGGAAGTAACACACAAGATTTTCCTTTGGGTGGAACGAGGACTTTAATATATCCTTCTTACACTGAAGCAGAAACATTTCTTGACAAAGACCTTTTAACGTGAAGAAAGACGAGTTCCAGAAAAGAGGACCTGTAGATATTTAGATGTATAACACTAATAAAAAAAGCCATTTCACATTCTTAAACACAATATAGATAATGCGACGATCTTCTTACCTTCAGGAGGAAGAGGACGACAATGCAGATGAGGCCGAGTGTGAGGTCCTGCCATCTTACCTTCAGGAGGAAGAGGACGACAATGCAGATGAGGCTGAGTGTGAGGTCCTGCCATCTTACCTTCAGGAGGAAGTGGACGACAATGCAGATGAGGCCGAGTGTGAGGTCCTGCCATCTTACCTTCAGGAGGAAGAGGACGACAATGCAGATGAGGCCGAGTGTGAGGTCCTGCCATCTTACCTTCAGGAGGAAGTGGACGACAATGCAGATGAGGCCGAGTGTGAGGTCCTGCCATCTTACCTTCAGGAGGAAGTGGACGACAATGCAGATGAGGCCGAGTGTGAGGTCCTGCCATCTTACCTTCAGGAGGAAGAGGACGACAATGCAGATGAGGCCGAGTGTGAGGTCTTGCCATCTTACCTTCAGGAGGAAGTGGACGACAATGCAGATGAGGCCGAGTGTGAGGTCCTGCCATCTTACCTTCAGGAGGAAGAGGACGACAATGCAGATGAGGCCGAGTGTGAGGTCCTGCCATCTTACCTTCAGGAGGAAGAGGACGACAATGCAGATGAGGCTGAGTGTGAGGTCCTGCCATCTTACCTTCAGGAGGAAGAGGACGACAATGCAGATGAGGCTGAGTGTGAGGTCCTCCCATCTTACCTTCAGGAGGAAGAGGACGACAATGCAGATGAGGCTGAGTGTGAGGTCCTCCCATCTTACCTTCAGGAGGAAGAGGACGACAATGCAGATGAGGCTGAGTGTGAGGTCCTGCCATCTTACCTTCAGGAGGAAGAGGACGACAATGCAGATGAGGCTGAGTGTGAGGTCCTGCCATCTTACCTTCAGGAGGAAGAGGACGACAATGCAGATGAGGCCGAGTGTGAGGTCTTGCCATCTTACCTTCAGGAGGAAGAGGACGACAATGCAGATGAGGCTGAGTGTGAGGTCCTGCCATCTTACCTTCAGGAGGAAGAGGACGACAATGCAGATGAGGCTGAGTGTGAGGTCCTGCCATCTTACCTTCAGGAGGAAGAAGACGACAATGCAGATGAGGCCGAGTGTGAGGTCCTGCCATCTTACCTTCAGGAGGAAGAGGACGACAATGCAGATGAGGCTGAGTGTGAGGTCCTGCCATCTTACCTTCAGGAGGAAGAAGACGACAATGCAGATGAGGCTGAGTGTGAGGTCCTGCCATCTTACCTTCAGGAGGAAGAAGACGACAATGCAGATGAGGCCGAGTGTGAGGTCCTGCCATCTTACCTTCAGGAGGAAGAGGACGACAATGCAGATGAGGCTGAGTGTGAGGTCCTGCCATCGTAAATCTTGGATATTTGAGAAAACTTTCACCCAAGTGTCGATCAGCCCTTTGGTCTTGAGACGAAGACCAAACAGTAGCTTAAGCTGGGACGAAGCTATGATGATAGCTGCAGCTGAAGTAAACCCACTGATGACTGGCTGAGAGATGAAGTTGATGATAAACCCTGGAAATGTAATATTCAAATTCTAAACTGATCAGGAACGATGTGAATATAATACGTGTGAAACTGATCAGGAACAATGTGGAAGCTGGTTAAGAACCTTGCAGATGTATCAAATAAGGAATAAAGATCCCTGCAGATACAACATCGTGATGAGAAAGAATACGCTGAAGCTGGAGTAAGATAAGAAAAATAATGGAGTGGCCCGTGGTCTGGTGGCTAAAGCTCTCGCTTCACACAGTGATTGTGCGGGTTAGATTCCCGGTAAAGGGTGGAAACATTGGGCGTGTTTCCTTACATCGGTTGTCCCTGTTCACCCATCAGTAAAAATGAGTACCTGGGTGTCAGTCGACTGTTATGAGTCGCATCCTGGGACAAAATTGATCAACAGGTCAGCAGGTCCAGTGGTTAACACACTGACCTGTGAGTTTTACCGCTTCCCTACCATGGGCTCGAACCCCGCCCGTTCTGTGAATTGAAAATAGGAGATATCCCACTTCTCCTCTTCCAAAATGTAGCATTTTCACAATAGCATATATTTAATGACAATAAAAATGCTTGTTTTCCTGTGCCAATGCTGTCTTTTTCCACTTCTCCTGTACACACAAACTCTACCTTAACGAAAAATATAACCGAAATATGAAGTTGCAATGCGTATAGTTATATAAATGGCTTAGAAAACCGGCAAGAAGATGACTGAGACACTTGTGCTACACTTGGGTTTCTATATTGTGACTTTATCAGTCCAGAGATCAATGGTGGATGATGAGTTTGAGGTAACAATCCCTAAGCCTGGAGTCGATGTGTTCAGTCCATCAGTCTTGACTCATATTAAGACTTTTATAAAGATTGATGAACTGATTACATCGACTCTAGACTGAGGGGACTGATTACCTCGACTTCAGACTGAGGGGACTGATTACCTCGACTTCAGACTGAGGGGACTGATTACCTCAAACTCCTGCTCATCTTACACCATTCTACTTTGTATTGTACCTCTCTTCTGTTCCAGTACATCACTTCCAGGTACTGTACCTCACTTGTTCCAGTACATCACTTCCAGCTATTGCACCTCACTTGTTGCAGTACATTACTTCCAGGTACTGTACCTCACTTGTTCCAGTACATCACTTCCAGCTATTGTACCTCACTTGTTGCAGTACATCACTTCCAGGTACAACACCTCACTTGTTCCAGTACATCACTTCCAGGTACAACACCTCACTTGTTCCAGTACATCACTTCCAGGTACAACACCTCACTTGTTCCAGTACAACATCCTCGGACAATTATAAAAGTTGGTAGCAGTTGATCATATAGCTTATGTAACTAGTTCCTCTGACCAGGCACACGAGAGGAGATAATCCACGCAGCAGTGAAAGTTCCTACTGAGAAGTGAAAGTCACTGCTCAGGGAAAGAAGATTGGTGACACTTTGGAGGAAGGCTGATGCTCCACCCTCTGCCTTCAGTAGGTGCATCTTAACACATGTACTTTCAGGGTATACCTTAGGAGAGCCTCTACTAACCTGCGGGTAGCCAGGCAGTGCTGGTTGTCTCCTTACCAGATGGTGGAGTCATTTGTAAGCTGCTTGAAGACTGGGTAGGACGAACCTCCGAGGGAAGGTAAGAGCTGTACCCCAGAGCAGCCTGCGTCTCATATCTTGGAGATAAATGATGAAAAGCTGACAGGAGGTGCCAAGAAAAAGGCAAATTTACCAGATATGCCTGTCCAAAGGCAAAATGTTTCAATTAAGCTCCACTTTGTAACTGACTTTTTTTTAATCTGTGATTTCTGGCAATAGTTGTAGTAGAGCAGCCAAGATGCAAGAGGGAATTCATGCTACTGTCTCTCCAAACCTCATTTTCTCGAGAAACTCAGAGCGCAGCAGCAGCGCAATCACTCTCTCCACCACACACGTCCTGTCTTCAGGTTTGTGAGAAACCCAGAGTTGATACAATATAAAACGCCAGTACAAGAGTGGCATGTGTTGGCGTCGCCAACGCATGCAACAAGTGGAAATATAAACACATATGCAGTATAATGTGATCCTTTATTGACAACGTTTCACCCACACAGTGGGCTTTTTCAAGTCACACACAGATCTACCTGGGGTGGAAGGTACGGGAGTATTTATAGTCATGTTCAGAATGTTGAGGTCAGGTGGAGAATGCTGCATCTGATGATCTACCGGGTGGGGTTATAGTCTCTTTGGTAGCTTGGCAGGGGTATTGGACAAGTTGTGAGTAGACCTTCTGCAGTGTTCTATGTTCTTATGTGGGATAGCGATGAAGAAGTTTCTTGGCGAGTGGTTCCTGGAGTTTACCTGGAGAGAGTTTCGGGGGTCAACGCCCCCGCGGCCCGGTCTGTGACCAGGCCTCCTGGTGGATCAGAGCCTGATCAACCAGGCTGTTGCTGCTGGCTGCACGCAAACCAACGTACGAGCCACAGCCCGGCTGATCAGGAACTGACTTTAGGTGCTTGTCCAGTGCCAGCTTGAAGACTGCCAGGGGTCTGTTGGTAATCCCCCTTATGTGTGCTGGGAGGCAGTTGAACAGTCTCGGGCCCCTGACACTTATTGTATGGTCTCTTAACGTGCTAGTGACACCCCTGCTTTTCATTGGGGGGATGGTGCATCGTCTGCCAAGTCTTTTGCTTTCGTAGTGAGTGATTTTCGTGTGCAAGTTCGGTACTAGTCCCACTGTGTGGGTGAAACGTTGTCAATAAAGGATCACATTATACTGCATATGTGTTTATATTTCCATTGTGTCGGTATTTTATACCATTTATTTCCACATGCAACAAGTGCTGCAGGTTGCATTATACTTGATCCATCAGGTGGTGCACCTGATGGTTCACCAACTAGTGCACCTGATGATCCACCAGCTAGTGCACCTGATCCACCAAATAGTGCACCTGATGGTCCACCAGCTAGTGCACCTGATGATCCACCAACTAGTGCACCTGATGATCCACCAACTAGTGCACCTGATGATCCACCAATTAGTGCACCTGATCCACCAGCTAGTGCACCTGATGATCCAACAGCTAGTGCACCTGATGATCCACCAGCTAGTGCACCTGATGATCCACCAGCTAGTGCACCTGATCCACCAGCTAGTGCACCTGATGATCCACCAGTTAGTGCACCTGATGGTCCAACCATCCATTAACGTCACAGATCATCTCAACATTGCAACTGGTTGGTTAACGAGGGAAACACAAGCAACAACGTTTTCCACATTACTCAGGAACAAAATTTAACAGTTGAAATAAAAATCGCCATAATATAAGGTAAATAAAACAGGTGGAATGGTTTCTTGGTGCCTTAGACTAAGCCTGATCAACCAGGCTGTTAGTGTTGGCCGCACGCAAACCGACATACGAACCACAGCCCAGCTGGTCAGGTACTGACTTTAGGTGTTTGTCCAGTGCCAGCTTGAAGACAGCCAGGGATCTATTGGTAATCCCCCTTATGTTTGCTGGGAGGCAGTTGAACAGTCTTGGGCCCCTGACACTGGTAAAACACTCTTGATAAATGAACTGTAACCACCCTTCCATAATATTTGGACACGGTTTTTGTGTGTAGAGCTGTATCAAGTTAAACAGACGAGGGCAATGACCTGCAGGTGATTTCTGTAGAAAGATGAATTGAAAGCAAATGAAGACCAACACACCACCACACACTGAGGTCCGGGGTTCGAATCTCCTCCGGTACGGCTGGGAAATATTAGAGATATGCTTCCATAAGACACCTGCTGTCCCTGTCCCTGTTCATTCATCAGTTTAAAATAGGTACCTGGGTGTTAGTGGACTGGTGTGGGTCGCATCCTGGGACAAAACTGACCTAATTTATGGGAAATGCTCAGCATAACAAGGGGCTTTCTATATAGTAGTATGTCACTGATGTCAGCTATGGTCTGTATACCTTGTATATGTTCTTGTAGTAGATAAAGATGTATATATATCAGAACAGTTATGCCGAAATGTTACTTGGTTTCTGATCAGTAAATTTGACCAATTCCTGTTGCTAAACGAACCTTAAGAGCAGATGGGAGCAATTAATTGTGTTTTCCTCTCATCCGATTTCTTTCATTTTTGGTGTAAATTAAGAGGTGTTGGTTCTCTTTCTTTTAAAAAATTTTCAATAAGGTAGCCAAAAAAAAAATTGAAAAAAAAAATTACTGAAAATTACTTTTGACAACAAGCTGGGCCTAAATGGTACTACGGAAGGTTGTTTGGCGACTTTCTGCTCGTAAAACAATGCTAATGGACCCCAGTGGACATAAGTCACTCTGTCTTTTTTGGGTCGTCCCAGGTTCCTTACACATATACTGCTATGTATGATAATCTATGTAATTGTATTTCTGTATACCTGAATAAACTAAATGCATAATTTCGATGAGGAATAATCCTGTAAATATCTTTTATTCCACAAAAAAATAAATTTGGTAAGCTTTTGAGGTCGCAAAATATCTTCCCTTTACTCCCACACAAATCACAAAATATTTGGAATATTTCTGTGGAAAATATTTTAATCTTCCGAAGCTATAGTGCCTAATAGGTGTTTAATGTGTCGATATGGGTCAAAAATGTATTTGAAAATGGAATAGAGCCAATAGGGAAGCCCTGCGCCTGCGCTGATGGGCAGGGGAGAGGTCGAGACGGGGCATCAGGGAACGGGAGTGTTTGGAATGGAGTTAAGAGGCTGTGAAAACATGAGACCAGAAAATTGGCGTTCACGGCGGCCTAAGGATTAATATAGGCCTCACTTCATAATAGGAAGTGTTGTAACTGTCCCTGGTGCAGAGTGAGGGAATGTGATTTACGGGACCGCTGCAATAAGTGGTAAAATTAGTGAATTGGTAGGACCGGCGGTGACTGGTGTGACGCCATGGAGTATGTCCAGGGAAAATACCCGTGATTTAATCATCACTCATTGGTCTCAGATCTTAATGGAGTGACCTCTAATGTGCATAATAATTATGATATGTTAAA